TCACTGCAGGGGCGCTAACAACTAGAGGGGAAGTATAGATTAAACAAAGTTGAATCAATATGAATTATGAAGGGAAAAATAAACAAACGAGTTTGCTGGTGTTAGCATAGTGACCTTTGATTTACTAAAATTCATCTTGAGTAATTTTTATTCTATATGACCAATAAAATATAAATAAATCAGCTGTTGGGAAAGATGGATGAACTTTTATTTAGATTTAGATATTAATTTCTTTACAGAAATATAAACTCTTAGCAGCAGTGTATATTTTATGCACTTTTGGAAGCTTTTCAGTGTAATTCCAGTCACAATGGTGAAGGCTGGGTGACACTGGTTGCATTTATAAGTGCATCTGCTTGTTCAACTTCCCCATCCAGAGAAGCCAGTAGCATATTTACTCAGATATACCCATGCAGCTGTCTGGAAACCCCTGATGGACCAGTCGTTCTCATGACCAAAGTACTGAGACCAGTACATAAATGCCACTTTCTCCCCCTAGTGGAGTAATACGGTAATAAAGTAGACCCTCTTTCAATTCTAAGGTTTTACACATCAAAAATTATTTTAAAAAAATTATCTGGTCCTTACCAACTCTTAAAATTAGGTAAATACAACCTCAGATTAACAACAAGACAGGACACCATACCATTATTTATTTACCAAAAATAAGTGTAACCTATGATTCAGTAGCTTGTACAACCACCTTCAGCAGCAATAACTTTAAGTAATCATTTTCTGTAGTCATCAGTCATCCTTTACAACATTGTTTCAGTTTGTTGAGGTATGTGGGCATTTGTTTATACACAGCTATGAAAGTCCCTCCGATCAGGGTGAGGTCTGGACTTTGACTGGGCCATTGCAACACCTTGATTCTTTGCTTTTTTGTCATTCTGTTGTAGATTTGCTGCTGCACTTGGGATCATTGTTCTGTTGCATGACACAGTTTGGGCCAAGCTCTAGATGTTGGTCAGATGGTCTTATATTTAACTCAAGGATACTTGTGTATATGTTACGTATGGCCCAAAATGGCCTCCGTACAAGAAAGTAGTAAGCTCTAATATTGACCAGTAAGGAACCCCCACACTCACACTGCAATGGGGTACACAAGATTTATTTTTTTCCTCAAAGAAACTACTGGCTGAAGACACAAATCTGGCCAGGAGTCCAAGGCCCAAAGCCACCACGGTCAGGGTTGTTAGCCTGGTTACAAACAGAGCAAGGTGGTCACTTGGAAGAACAAGCAGCCAAAAACATATCAATACTGCATCTTCCTCAGAAAGGTTTGCCACCCACCTTTTAAAGCCTGGTGTCGTTCAAGGGTGGGTCTCCACATTAAATCCTGGGGCTTCCACTCTCAAGCTGAAACTTCCCTAAACTTGGCCAGTTTCCTTTCCATGGGCACGGAGAGTCTCCAATCCAGTGTTTTTCCTCCCAGCAGATCCACACAAATCCTAATTAAAATGAGTCCTCCCTCCAACATCCTCAAATTATTTTAAAAGCAAAACCAGGCAAAAATCCTTTCCCTTAGAATGTGCACACTTCACCCTGGAGTCTCAGAGGCTTCCCTACTGCACCAGTGTCCTTCCCGTTTCTTCTCCCCTTTATAGAGAATGGCTCCCATCGTTCCCAATCAGCTGCTCCCTGTACTCAACTCCAAA